ACCGAACCTCGGAAACCATCCCTAGCACAGGCGCAATCGATCTCATCTTCTCTCACTGTTCCCTTAACGGTGGCCACCATGGGGACAATTGCAGGTGCCTCGAGTAGTCAATCCCAGACGAGCGGAAGTCAAGGCCATCATTCTTTACAACAAGCACCCCAAACTCCTCCTGGAACCTCTTTAGCTTTGTCTGGCACTTGCAATTGCTTTGCTACTACTCCCACTACTGCTACTACGACCATGTCCAGCACTGGCTCGCGTCCTTTTGCGAGAGCCCCTGGTTCAGAGCGTAGTGCACAATACAGGAATGCAGTCGCAACGGCTTCTGGCATCGATACAACTACGGCGCTCCCGCCTTCTCTTCCTTTGGCAGCCGAGCCCCGATCACACCCAAATCATGTTGATTCTTCCCCGGCAAGTTCTCCAATAATTCAGACATCTGTTCCCACTACACCAGTAAAACGACCCGGTTCTCCACGTTCCAGTTGTTTAGAAGATATTTCAACAGGTCCAGTTTCGGCTGCTACGAATATGGCCACCAGCGAACCTCTTGTTTCGCTACCAGCTGCGCCGCCTACCTTAGGAAATACTTATCTTATGGGTTCTTCACTCGTGACGAATTCTGCTTCCGGTTTTATGACAGCAGGTATGGACAGCTCTCTGGTAAACTCTGCCTGGTCAGCAGTTGGTGACGTTTTGTCTGGAGAATCGATGATGGGATCTTCATTCCTCAATTCTCAGTCTCAGCAATTGTCAGGCGGTTTCGAGATGCTTCAGAGTAGGGTTCCTTCTTCCGTTGATCACTTGACTTTGAATACATTCGCCCCCAACTCCCTGTCCCAAAGTGCTTCCGGAATGAGGTCACAAATGCAGGGTTCACATAATCATATTCAACCTCCACCCCCATCTATTGCTTCAGCACTAGGATCTGTACAACAGAGGCGGATTATCCAGCAAACACCTCATCAAGTTCTACCACAGCAGCAACAACAACTTGTTTCCTCTCTCCATCACCATGGTCCTGGTGGCTCATGGGCCCAGCTGCCACCTTCCAGTCTAGATCTACCTGCTTACCCGCTTCCACAATCGCAACAAATGCATCCTTTCGCCATTGGGAATAGTGGGAGTGCTTCAGTCGCGAATCAATTCGCTTTGCCACCACCGAGTCAAACTGGCTTGTCTGATCCTAAATCTGCCGCCGCTGCAGCTGCAATGGCGGCAATGCTCGCTGGTAATTTTCGTCCTGATTTCGGCACTCATTCTTCCACACCAGGCGTAACTGGGCCATCCTCTCCTTTTTCTGATATCTCTGGCTATCCCGAGGCTTCGCTTGATGGGCAGGTTGCCCGTCTTCCCGGTTTTCGGCACTACCCATTTACGGCAACTCCTTCTGTTAGCTTCTCTTCCGCTGGCCAATCCTCAATGGCCGCTAATGGTGGAGTATACTCTCCGACTGGATCCTTGCCTCTTTCCCGACATGCCGTTCAGTCTTCTGCAGGCCGTGCTACCTCTTCACCTGTTTTCTCAGTTCCTCCACCAAATGCGACATCTGGTGCTTCTCTTATCGACGCGTTGGCAGGGCCTACCCATGGCCTTGTTAATGGTTTAGCAGCAGCTTCGGGCTGTCAAGCTTCGGCTTACCCCACAGCACTCACTACATTGGCGAATCCCGGGGAAATTCACGCTGCCTTCCAAGCATCTGTGACTGGAATGGCTGCGACTCAGAGCACCCCTGCTATTTTTGCCCAGCCAAGTCATTTAGGTCCCGCCTACCCTGCAAATGGAATGACTCGACTGGGTCCCCATCCTTCGCAGCTGGGTCCTGTCAACTCGGCATCTGGGTTCATGTCACATGCGCCTCCTGGTAATCAATTTGCCCAGTTGCCGTCTGTTGGTATCGGGTCAGCTTCATTCCATCAACATCCGGAAGGACTTGTCAATTGTAAGCGTTTACCTTTCATTCCATATTGTAACCTCTGATTTCTTTAGCAAAATTTAAAAAAATTACGATGAATATAAAATTGGAATATCTTTGACTCCGTTTTCATAACTAGTTCGTATTGTAAGGGCGACTTAGTTGGACACACCTTGACCGAAATTCTCTGATATAATAGTTATGATAATTCCCAGCGTTAGACCGTGACTTGGCATATTCCCAAACGCTTCGCCGGCATCGCCAGTAATTCTTGCCATTCACTTCACTTGTCGCTTTGGCGAGTTGTAGCTTGGTGCTGAGAACGGCGTTGCCGGTGCAACGTCTATGAATGTACCAGGTCCACGATCCAACGCTGGGAATTATCATAGTTACTATAGAAGATGACTTCAAACAAAATGTGTCCAACTAGGTCCTCCTGACAACACGAACAATTTACGAAAACGAACTGAGATCACTTCTATACATCTAAAGAAGACTGCTAGCAAAATAGAGGCCACAACATCTTGGTCTTTATATTTACCTACAAAATTAGAATCCTTGTGTCAATTCCAATGATTTATTACATATTTTCCGTAAAACTTGGTCCCTCAGTCCCATGATTATTTTAATCATCACCTAGTATCTTGCATCCTTGGCGAACCACATTTGCACTTTCTTTTATGCAATATATTGACACTAACTTAATATCTCGTGGAGTTGTTATCATCGTGGAGTCATCTTGCTCTGAGGATCTGTCAAAATTGATTATGCAACTGCCAAAAAGTGCAGAAATTCAAGTGACGCTTTACAAGCCGGAGATTTACTGCATTACTATCTCACATCGTTCGACGACAATAGACTGATCTCGAATTTTCAAATCGTATTAATTTTCATTTCGCTTAAGCTTATTTTGTCCACGGCATCCTATTATTTATTTTTCGGCATAATTCTGTATGAATCTTTTTCAGCTATCTCTTTCGATATTTCGCTGAGTCCCTTACTTAATCAGCTTCTTAAATAGGTAAAGCAATATA